CTGGCACCACAGCCCAGAACATGTGTAAAAATACCCAATAAGTCTAAAAGGACAGAACAAGAGACTAGAATAGGGAAACAACAGACAAAGGAGAGGATAGTGGGAATATTGAATCTTAGGTGAAAGTTTCAGTTAGTTTGCTGTCATCTTTGGTCCATCTGGGGCCCGGATGGCTTGAAAAATCCACAAAGCAGATGAAGTATGGAAATTGGGGACACTTAAGATCCTGACATTGTCAGTGTCTGTAATCCTGTCTCCAGACTGCTGAGGGGGCCATCATTCCCATTCCCATTGATCTGACCTATTCAAATAGTTTCTGACACCACAGACATCAGTCTTTTTGTTTCCAGGAATTCCTAATCTATTGTTTGTCCAGTAGTCAGGTTTTTCTTTAGACTGAAGCATGACAGCTAAATGACTTTCAAACACAGTTCATTCAACTCCTTTGACTCCAGCTCATGCCTGGTTTTAACAGGTATTTTATGTACTTAGCAAACGATCATATCCATTTGTATCTTTGGCCCGATGTGGCCAAAGCCTTTTGCAAAATGTTTGTAAGAGCTCCAGAATTACAGTCCTTGATGTGGCAGCGTTGAACTCTGAGTTTACTAGGGGGCATGTCTTGTCTTAGGCTTTTGGGAATATTCAGCCTTTCAGTTACAGTGGCTTGGGGTGCAGACCCTCTTGCCTCTATGCTTGCTTTATGTACTATTAATCCTTAGGATTCTTGTGGTTGCTAGGAATTCACTTGCGTCTCCACCCTTCATTTGGAGAAGAAACTATCACAGTTCAACCCTTTATGTATTTCTTCACAGGAGACCAACCTGGAGCAGATCTGGGGCCTCTGATCACTCCTCAAGCCAAAGAACGAGTCTGTAATTTGGTTGAGAAAGGAGTGAAAGAAGGGGCTACCCTGCTCCTGGATGGACGAAACATCAGAGTGAAGGGCTTTGAGAACGGCAACTTTGTTGGACCCACTATCCTTGGCAAGGTCAAGGTGAGATACCCCCACTGTTGATTACTTCAGACAGAGAAATGAGGCATATCAGATATTCAGTAGGAAGAATGGCATTTGTTCTGGTGAACACAGCTGGGGATGATCCTGTGGACTTTTAGCCGTGCAGGGGCCAGTGATAAACTGCTGCTTCACCTTCTACATTTGAGAACTGTGGCCTGTCCCATGTGTTTGTTGAGAAATTCAGAGTGGCTAAGGTTCCACCCTGGGAATGTCCTAAAATCTGGATTAGAGAATAGGTAGGCAGATTGTGGTTGGATTGAAGGACAGATGCAGATAATGATGGAAAATTGGGTGAGTAAAAATTGATGCAAATAGTTAATTGCCCAAGCACTATTCCTCATGGGCTGGAACATTGGCTGGTGAACCACAGGTTCATTTGACTTGGACTTTCTGTTTTTTCTGTCTTGGCAGCCAAGCATGACTTGCTATAAAGAGGAAATCTTTGGGCCAGTTTTAGTGGTTCTGGAAGCAGATACTCTGGAGGAGGCAATCGAGATAGTAAACAGGAACCCCTATGGGAATGGAACTGCCATCTTCACTGCCAATGGAGCAACTGCCCGGAAATACTCCCACTTGGTGGATGTGGGACAGGTGCGTATAAGTCTGAATTATCCTGGTCAGTGCTTACTATTAACATGGGGCAGGCAGCCAGCCCTGGTGACTGATTAGATAATACCCTATGGTCTCATATTTAAGAAAACTGGACATAGTGTCTTGCAGCAGAGGAGTAGAAGCTGTTTTGCTCTTCTTGCTGCACTTCAGTGTTTGTTCAAACATGGTATCTTTTTGCTGATATAGGTGGGTGTAAATGTTCCAATTCCAGTGCCACTCCCAATGTTTTCCTTCACCGGCTCTCGTGGTTCATTCAGAGGGGACACCAATTTCTATGGCAAACAGGTAACTAATCAAATTAAGGAAAACAGTGTATTTAATTGTTCTTAGAGTCTAGTGCATGAAGCTATGTGGTGGAGGAGGAGGCCATCAGGGTGTATTCTAATAAGGTAGAAGTTGGGGAGGGAGGATGAAGCAGCATGCCTTCTGGGAGGGTCAAATACATCCAGCCAGTGGGGAGAGGGCAGCATTAGTGTCAGTAGTGGAGGCCTCCATATTCTGAGGGTGTAGCAGAAGCTCCTCTAGCACTGGTTTGCAGGAGTCTGAAGGCCACATGTATGACCTTTGTTCCTCTTCATTTTTCAGGGGGTGCAATTCTACACGCAGATGAAGACCATCATCTCCCAATGGAAAGAGGAAGATGCCACAGTTACCAAGCCTGCAGTAGTCATGCCAACCATGGGGAACTAAACCAGCCTGTACAGATGCTTTCCATAGTGCCCCTCATCCATGGTACAGACTCCTTCAAGCTCTGTCCTGACTGGGAACGTTTCCTTGCAAACAGAAAGCCGTGTTCTCTCCAGGTCCTCCATTTCTGTTTTGAGTAGACAAGCTCTTTACGTAATGGCACAATCACGTGTTTTGAGCTTAATCTGCTCAAAACTGCTGAGTTTCTCCCCTAAACCTTTCCCAGAGTGAAAGGGCAGATGGAGAGATTGATCTCAATTTATCTTTTTCCCTCAAACTCCTCTGAACACCTCTGCCCAGGTTTCATTTTCTACTGCATATCTTTAGACCCAGTGACTCATTACCAGCTATATGTTGCTGAAGCTCTATCCACATCCTGGTCTTATGTGTTAAGATCCAAATCTGCCTTATTTTGGGACATGCTGAGTGCCAAAGAAATGGCTTTTTCATTGCATGAAGGTAGCGGATTCGGGAGTTTCTCTGACTTGACATTTTGAAGGCTTTAACCCTTTTACCCATTAAACAGCTTCCAAGATTCTTGGGAACAGACTGCTTTAAGGGTTTAGAGTGATGTCTTCTGGGGTGGTAGTTTGAAGGTCAAGGAGGTTCCTAAGAGAAGTAGAATGAATTCCAGTCAGTGAGTCCCACAGTTTGGAAACTGTGACCCTCATGATGCCTATTCATTTTAATTCTCAACTCTTATATCTGAAAACACTAGTAAGGTGCTTTTCACTGTAACAGAAATGTGCCTACATATACTGTCATGGACTGAAACCAGGGAAACAAAAGCATAGCAATGTTTATGCCTGGTTAATGTTACTGGAGCCTTGTGCGGAAAAGGCAGAACTAGAAGGAAGAATGCACCTCCTTCCTCAAAGCAACCAGGCTCATTTTCTTAGTTTCTTTTCATAACGCAGGTTTGTATTGCTACTGCCTACTGCTTTAGTTACTGTCATAAATGCTCATATTATCTGCAAGTGGACAATACTCCCCAGTGCTAAAGCAGGTAAGGAAGTTCTGTGAGTCCATGGGATAAAGTTCTGTGTTTGGAGCTGTGGTCCCGGGTTCCATCTCCCAAGAAGGGGTCACTTAGTTGGTGTCTAATGCAATCCTTGAGTGGTTATAGAAAGGTCCTGCAATGAGGTAGGAGGAAGGGTAATGTTCACTTGGACTCAGTCCAGTCAACAGTGACGTGCAGAAAGTTTGTTTCTGCAGCTGTGGAAAGTCAAGCAAATATGCTGATTCTAATCATGATTTGTTGATCTAATCCAGGGGTGGCAAACTCACTTGGGGTCTTGAGCTGGACCCAAGTTGTGGGTCTCATTGTGGACCAGATCCAGTGGGTACTATGGCCACTAGTATGGGAGGAGTTTGACTAGCAGCGACAGGGGGCCTGGCAGTGGTCAATCCAGGGGAAAGGCACCTAGCCAAGCTCGCTGTCAGAAGCCATAGCCATCAGTGCCAAAGGGCCCCAAATTCTGTGGCAGGCTATACCCCCCACAACTTCTGGTAGCTTGCTGGTAAGCCTGTGGCCCAGACAGAACAACTCCATGGGCCAGATCCAACCCATAGGCTGTGTATTTGACACCCTGGTCTAATTAAATAAACAATATGAGCACTTTGTATTCTGTCTTCTGATAATGATGCCTTTTGTAACTGACAACTGCCTGACTTCAGTACAACTATTGTGAAGCCGCTAATATTTGTATCTTATTTTCTCTGTTATATCTTAGAGGAAAATTCTCACATTCTTCAATTTGATTATGAATAAAATTGCTAATAAATTTCTTCAGGCAATGACCCTGGTTTGCCATGAGATGCTGTTGACATGTCATTGATTTGCCCCTTGAAATAGGTTCCATTGTTCCTGTAACTAAATCTGCTTGGACCTAAGTCAGTTCATTGTTTTACACAGCTCAATACTGCAAGGAAGGCCCTTCAGCTGGTTCCTATACATATCACTTTATTCCAAAAGCTCTTTAGGCTTATACAAATTCATTTATTCCAGAATAGAAAGATACCATCTTCAAAAAATAATGACGTGCCCTATATTGCGGTATCACAGCTTTTACCTTAAACTCTGTAGCAGGAGCCTGAGGTAATCCTAACTACCAACAGACCTTGGGCCAGAGGAAGAATAAAAAAAGTTTTATTTTAAAAAGGGTAAAAACACTTTATAAGTTTACAGTGACCTTTCAGGTTGGATTCAGAGAAGCAGTCAAACCGACACTATAAGAGAATCAGGATACAATCTCAGCCTCAGCATCACTCCAATTGCATAAGAGAAGTCCCAGAAGAAAATTAATGTCAGGCAACAGCTGTGATGGTTCTGATGGCTTGTTCTTTTAGTGTGTGATGCTTTACTCTCCCTTCTGTGCTGTTACCATTCGAATATCTGGAAGGGCTGTTGCATGAGAGGTGGACTCTGACAGTGGAGCCTGCTGTGTAATGAAGGTCTGGCTGGAGGCAGTGTTCTCTGGGCTGCAACAGTAAAGCATAGCAGATGAGTCAGCAATGACAGAGTCCTATACACCTTTACCGGCTTGTGGATCAATGTCTCTGATAAGGTGTACATTTATTCTGAATCACTTCAGTTCCCTTTCTTACTCAGGATAGTTGATTTGACTCCTGTGTTAGCTCATTACATTAAAGTGCTTAACAAATCCCATTCTTTCATTTACAAAATCTAAAATCTGTCTCTTCCCATGGTGAAAACAGCTTTATTATCAAGGCTCTATTTTGCCTAGAGAAGCAACTTCTTTCCTGCATCTCCAAGTTATTCGCCTAAATGGTTTGGTCTGTCTGGGTGTGTCTACATGTTCATTAATGTGCTGTAATTACAGCGCATTAAGTTTAGTACCTATAATGACTAGTACTAACTTAATGTGCATTAGATGAACATTTTTGAGGGGTTTATTTGTTTTTTGTGATGCTACTGCACATTAGACTAAATCTAATGCGCATTAGCACTCAGCATGGGGTTTGCCCACCACACTAATGCGCAACAGAATTAGTCTGTGCATTAAGCATCTTGTGTAAATTCGCTTTCATTTCCTACTTTTGTCTGTTTTCTTCAGTGCCGGTCCCCACAATTGAACCTCATACCCTTCCTTGTTTCAAGAAGCTGCTGCCTTTCCTTGCAAAATGAAAGAGGTCTGGCCTAAAGGAAATAAGTCACTGCTTCTCTGAATTGTACCTGGCTGTGTGGTATCCATCAATATGAAATTGTAAGTTGCAGGGAACTGTGGTGTACAACAACTTGCATACTCAAAGTGCTCTGTGCTAATACACAAGACACCCATTTTTTCAAGTGCCAATGATAAATTGGTACCTACTTGCCTTGGAAAATAATACAACCAGGTGTATGGTTGTATCATGCCTGAATCTATGAAAACTAGACTCCAAATGCAATAGGAATTGGTCCTTTTTTCGCACTTCCAGCGGTAACGCTGAACTGAGAAAGTGAGAGGAAGGAAAATTTTGTATATGTATCTAGAGCATCTAGAGTGGGTTTTATACATTTAAATAAAACAAGGCTCTAGCCCTGAGGTGCTTTGACTAGAGTGTCCTTTTAACCAACTAGAAGACTGAATTCCTCAGGGACTGTGAGCAGGAGACAGACTCCTACTGCCAGG